AACCGTGCGTGGTGGATTTTCTTGGGAATGTGTTTAACAAGGAGGCTCTTGTGGAGGCCTTGTTGGGCAAGAAGGTGCCCAAGGCCTTTGGGCACATAAAGGGCTTGAAGGACATGATCACTGTTCATTTTTCCCCAATTCCTGGGACTGAATCCAATCGCCGATCGAGTGCCGCGGGGCCACGGTTTCAATGCCCTATTTCTGGAGTGGAGTTTAACGGTAAGTGTAAGTTTTTGGCATTGAAAACTTGTGGGCATGTACTCAGTGCAAAGGCTTTAAAGGAGGTAAAATCCTCCACTTGCCTTGTTTGTCATGTTGGATTTTCTGAGGCGGATAAGATTGTGATTAACGGAAACGAAGAGGAAGTTGTGGCGTTGAGGGATAGAATGGAGGCTGAGAAGGCGAAAGTGAGAGTGAAAAAGATGAAGAAGACGAAAAATGGGGATGCTGCTCCGAATGGAGAGGAGGGTGTGGGTTTTGAGGCCTCGCGGTTGAGCGGTACCAAGCATGGCATTGATGTTAAGGCTGTGGAGAAGGTGGAGAAGGCATCAGCAAATGTAGAGGTACATGGGAAGGTTGTGAATGGTGGGGATAATGTGAAGGGTGTGAGTAATGGTGCGGCAAAGAGGTTCAAGGCTGTGGATATAGCCCCACCTAATGCTACTAAGGAAGTGTATGCGTCTATATTCACGTCGTCAAGGAAGTCGGAGTTCAAGGAAACATATTCTTGTAGATCTCTCCCACTTGGTAGAAACTAATTGATGGTAAGGTCGAAGAGAATGTAATACTGTCTTATTTTTAATTTGAATTTTCAGTTTTTATTGATTCCTATTTTGTTATAATTTGAAGTTGATCTTTAATAGGAAACTTTGGCTTGTTATATACTCTCATTGGCTGTCTTGCTGCTTGGTAGCAAGCATAATTCCTTGATGTACAATATCAGTTGTGAAGATAGGTTTTTTGATGTTGATGCTTCAACTAAACAAGTTTTACTTGCAACATTAACACTAATAAAATAAGAGGTGCATAGTTTCATATTTTTACATTTTTGAAACCCTTTTTTTGCATGTTTTTATATTGGCGGTCGTTCTTCGCTTATGCTTTGTGTAGTATTTAAAGATTTGACGTTCGTAATATCATAGTGACAGTTGCCTGAGTTGTATAGTTTTATTTACCGAAATTTGAAGTCGTGGTAGATTTGTGAACAAAACATTCAAAACTTGCAGAGTACCTGAGCTGTTCCACACCACTTTGCACCTTTGGTTCCACACCACAAAGTGGTGTTTGTGAGCTGTGGGTTGTTGAGAACCTCTATATCTTGTTCTTTTGATTGTTTTTGATTGAGCTGTTGGGCTGTTGAAACTTGGGGAGCCTGGAATTGAGTTCCCTATAGTCTCAGCTGCAAATCTTACAGTGGTCAGTTCGTTGCACCAAGGGAAGGCTTGCTAATAGCTATAAAATATAGTGATCGGTGAGAATAAAGCTAACTTTGAATGTGCGTGGATGAGTGGTGCAGCATTCCTGATTAGGTTTTTGAGAACATGTTAGTATCTACCTGCTGGTTTAGTTTGCACAGTATTTAAAGGTGTTTCTCAATCAAGGATATACAAAGTTTGTCAATTCTTAAAAAAGTGATGTGTTGCTTAGAGATTGAGAGCATTTCAGCCAAGTGTTCATGTTGTGTGTCACTGTAAAAGTCTATAATATGCAGTGAAGATGATTGGTGCAGGTTTGTTTGGATGTGGGTTATCTTCTCATGTGCTTCTCATTTTGGCTTTGTTGTTGTCACGATAACGAGACAGAAGTATGTCTCAAGAAGGTTTTATGTTCTGTGAGAAATGATAATAGATAGATGAACAGGGGGATAGAAAATCCAAATGCTTTTTATTGAGATTTGAACTACCTTTCATCTGTTGCTACCAATAAAAGGTTTCTTCGTTTCCTTTTTGATAAGAAAATACTTATACTAAACAGATGTTCTACCCAACTGAATTTACTGGACCGTATAAAAGCCAGTTGGTACATAAACATTGAGAAGTGGAAACTTGAATAATAGCCAGTTGGTACATAAACATGAAAACTTGAATGCCATGATTTTTGTAAAGTAATAACATATATCTTAACTAAACGTTGAAATTTTGATAAGACGAATGCTCACTCAATGATGAACTCCCAAAACCAAATTGAAGTTTAATGGAAACTGAAGTCTCAGCATCTTCAACCACCACTGCGATGCTGGTTTACATGTCCAACTATTCCAAATAACAAAAGCATAGTTCTTTGTTGGAAAAGAGAAAAGACAAAAGACAAAAAGAAAAAGAATTAAAAGGTAAACAAAATGAAAAAGAAAATGGAGAAAAGGAGGATAAAATGGATAAATAAAATAGGGAGATTCACTATTATACCCAATCTAAGAGCACAAATTATTAAAAAAAAAAAAACCTATATGAAATGGATTTTAAAAACACACCTAAAGCCCATTTACAATATAACAAAAAGGCTTTTAACTTCTTTAAATTACAAAACTGTCATCGATTTCACAAAACCTCATTTAAAAAAAAGCCTAAAACACTCAATAGGGCATCAAAAAAATGTAATAATCAAAATTAAATTCAATAGGGCCAGCTGTCATTTTTTGGGTTTGTTTATAAAAATTAAATGGTACAGGTTTTATCTATATTATTAGTGCTAAGAATGAATATATAACCAAATATCTCAATAAAATACTAAGTTTTGTATATATAAGCAGCAACTCATAAGTAACGCACCAGTTCAATCTTCCTGAGCTATTCCTTGCTGTTACAAAGTATAAGCAAGGAAGGCTTACAGCGCTTTATCACAAAACGGCGTAAAACAAAGTCTTTATTTTTAGACTCTCATCCCTCTTCTATAAAAACCCATCTCTCTTTTCCAACAAAACCCTCGTTTTCACACCCAAAACCCCCAAATTTCCCCGAGAAACGCATTGATTTCTCGGAGAAAATCTTCATCTTGTTCCAACCTATTGTACCTCGGCGCATCATTTCTCAAACCGAAAACGAGAATGTCATAGTCCTTGATTATTGAGGTGAGTTATCGTAACTTTGATTTCTGCTTTTCTTTTCTAGGTTTCGATATGTGGATTTTGCTCAGTATGAATTTTGAGATATGGGTTTTGGTTTTCTTGGTTTCATTTGCAGATTTATGGTTTTTGCTCTTCTTGGTCTTGTTATTTGCATAAATTTGTGTTCTTCCTGCGAAAATAAAATGTCTTTGTTGACGAAAAGCGATTCAATTCACATTAGGGAAGTTTGGAACGATAATCTTGAGAAGGAGTTCGAATTGATTCGTAAGATTGTAGACGATTACCCTTATATAGCTATGGATACAGAGTTTCCGGGTATCGTTTTGCGGCCTATAGGCACTTTCAAGAACAGTTTTGATTATAATTATCAAACCCTTAAGGCCAATGTGGACCTCTTGAAGTTAATTCAGTTGGGTCTCACATTTACTGATGAGAACGGGAACCTTCCGACCTGTGCAACTGACAAGCACTGTGTGTGGCAATTCAATTTCCGCGACTTCAACCCTAATGAGGATGTGTATGCCAATGACTCCATAGAGTTATTGTCACAGAGTGGTATGGATTTCAAGAAGAACAATGAGAAGGGTGTTGATGCTGTTAGGTTCAGCCAGCTACTGATGACATCTGGTGTTGTGCTGAATGAAAACGTGGTTTGGGTGACATTCCACAGTGGCTATGATTTCGGGTACTTGCTCAAGCTTCTTAAAGGCGAAACCCTTCCGGACACACAGACGGGGTTCTTTGATATGATCAAGGTGTATTTTCCTACAATTTATGATATCAAGCATCTCATGAGGTTCTGCAACAGCCTTCATGGTGGGTTGAACAAGCTGGCGGAGCTGCTAGATGTGGAGAGAATTGGTATTTGCCACCAAGCTGGTTCTGATAGTTTGCTGACTAGTTGTACGTTCATGAAACTGAAAGAGACTTTCTTTAGTGGGAATCCTGACAAATATGCTGGTGTTTTATATGGTCTTGGTGTTGAGAATGGATATAATTCTCATTGAAAAAAGAAAAGACTGGAAATATTAATAAATAAATAAATGATTTGGTAGACTACATGTGTGTGCCTGTTGCGATTTCATCATATTCTGTTATATTTTCTCCTCCTACTATTTATTCTGCTAGATGTTGAATAGCAGCCATTGCTAGAATGAGCTATGATTGAAGTTCCATGGTCTTTCTTAGGGTTTGCACATTCTGCTGCTGCTGAGCAGCACCATAGTGTTAATTGAAAACTGACAGTTTTCCTCAATGTTTATCCTCCAATTTCACTCGTTCTTTGTTTTTTGGAGATTACTGGACCCAAAAAGGAAAGTGAATTATACTGTTAGTGCTCATGAGATGAGACCTTGTTCTTCCTAAATTGCTTCCCCTTTTCTTTCAAGTTTTTAAGAATAAAATGGAGCCCTACTGTACTTTGTTGTGTGTTATAAAACTTACAAAGCTTGAAAAGTAAAAGATAATAATGTCAGTTTAGTGTCTTTTCTTCTGCAATTCACTTCATGGATCTCTTGCAAGAGTTTCCCCGCCACCAGCACACAGGGATTGTTTCTGGCTTTTTAAGCGTCCTTTATCAGAATAGGAGTTAGCAGGCCTTTGGCAGTAGTAATTATGTGAGACATCTCATTCTCTTAAAACTGCCTTTTACTATTTGGCTGGCTGCCTTATTCGCTTCCATTCCATCAAGTCCTCAAGGTATTTTGTGTTTATAATCAATCATACTGAAATTTATGGTCCTTGAAGCATTAGTGATACTATTCTGCCAATGGTTGATGACTAATACGTTTGCTTGTTGACTTGGATATGCATTTCGTCGGCACATGGTTTCTGTTAAGAGTTATCAACTGGCATGTCGTCATTGCTTTAAATATCACATTCCTCTGAGATTTGAGGCTTGAAAAGACAACCAAAAATAACGATAGAATTCATTCAATTCAATTCAGGGTGAAAATAAAAGATATTTGAAGAGTGAAAATCTGTTTGCATCGTACAAGTACATTGTTTCTGCCTGTGTATACATGATTCAAGGAACAATCACCAAACTAATGCCTAGTTTAAATTATTGTCAAGTTCATGGCTGCAAGTTTTCACTAGTCCTCAGTGCAGAAGAATAGTAATGGGATTCAAGCTCCTTGAGGCTAGCAGCTGCCTCCTCTCCGATTCTAGCCAACATCTGGTCGGTCTTCTCAGCCTGCTGGTTTAACTCCACTATTCTTTGCTCTACATGGTCATTAAGGGAGGCAAATCCCGAAAAGATTGCCGTCTGCTTCAGTTCTGACACCAACTTGAGCAGAGAATCAGCTGCCTGAACCTGTGATCATAGATGAAAGGCGAATGACCAAACAACTCAGTAACCAACTAGGAAACATATAAAGCAAGCTTGCAGTAAACTTAAAGAGGAGCTCATTTGATAAGGCCAGACAAGAGTAAACTGAATAGCAAACAGTCACCGCAAACATGATCCTAACTCATCAATTAACAAGAGCAGAGTAGCCACTCCTTTTGTGAATCTCTAAGCAAATTGATTGATGAAACACAGATTATGAAATTGGAGCATCTTTCACGTCGCATGCATGGACCTCTGTTTATTTAACAAAACATTTCTGATTTCTGAGTTGTAAGTTTATGAAGCAAATGAATAAGATCAAACTCAAAGTGATAAAGTTTAACAATTATACTTGCTTGAATTGAATAGGGTTTAGGATCTAAAACAAAATGAAATAAAAATAAATCAGAAAGCAGGAAGGAAAGGAAAAGGCTTGACCATTCTGGCTGCACGCATCTCCATCATGAAAGCTTCTTGAGAGTTTCTAACAGGAGGATCGTTCACCTACAAGCATTAATAAGGTTGGTTGGCATTCCCCATTGTCAGTAATTTTTGTTCAATTTAAAGAGAGAGAGAGAGTGTGTGTGACCCTGGAGACGTTGACGAGGGAGCTGAAATTGTCGACGATGTTGGCGATGTCCGTCTCCACTCTCTGCAGCAACGCCTTCTGCTTCTGAGCTGCTGCTGCCGCCGCAGCAGCAGTGGGCCCACTTCCCCCACCTCCCAATCCGCCACCTGACGCTGCACCTCCCCCCTTATTCATTCTTCTCTCTTTCTCTCGTCCCTTACACTGCATATAAATTATTAGGGTTATCTACTGTAGACGTCCCTGAACTTGGCCCCCAGTTGTAATTGGGTCGTGAACTTTTTTTTCGTGCCAATTACATCCATTAACTAAATAAATAGTTCCAATTGGTTCTTGCCATCCAACTTTGTCAATTTATCCGTCAAAATGAGGGATAAAAGAGTCTTTCGAGAACGGATGGAACAGAACCACAATCCAAAAACAAAATCAGATGAAAAAAAAGAAAAGAATACGATGGGTTTTCAGAAAGGGAAATCGACATAAGGTAACGAAGTAAATGAGAAAAACTAGAACAGATTCAAAAGAAAGATGAAAAACCTGGTTGCTCCTTTCCTTGCCACAACCCAACCTCTCTGATGATGAATAGGAACTTTTCCTAGGGAAAACGATGACCCTCTGATTCTGGTACAACCTTCAGACCAAACCTGATTCCCCAATTGACAAGAAAGAATTTTTAAGGCCAAGATAAGAAGAAAGGAGAAAGAAAGAGGAAGGAGATGGAAAGCTGAGCTGGCGCGAGGTTAAAGACAGAGCAGAAGGTAAAGGGTAGAGACATAGCAGAAGGTAAGGAGGAGGGGGAATGGGGTTGCGGGTGGGTTCTGGGTTCTGCGGGTTGGGAGATGGGGGGTGGTTGTAGGTTGGGTCGGGATCTGGGTTTTGAGAGGGTGGGCTAAGGAGGAGGGGGAATGGGTTGCAGGAGAGAGGGAGAGCTGAGAGAGTGGGATTTGGATTTGGATTATTTATTTTTAAGTTTATTTATTTATTTAATTAAAAAAATTCATTTTTTTCAGTTTTTCTTTTCAATTTTTAAAATTTAAAATATTTTAATTAAAATGGACGGTTTTAGCCCTGAAATTAACAGCCAAATTGACGGAAAGACTCGATTGGAACGGATGAGAGAGTTGGATGACCTAATTGGCACGAAAAAAAGTTCACGGAACCAATTACAACTGAAACCACTTGCAACTGGGGGCCAAATTCAGGGACGTCTAGTTAAAAAAAAAAACCCATATATTCTCAAAATTCATAGAGAGCAAAACCCACACATTCAATTCAGTCGAAGAAATCATATCATAACAGAAGCAGAAGTGAAGGGTGCGAGAATGAATGGCTCGTCTTGGGTTTGACAAGTGAAAACTGATGGGTCGATGGGTCGACCGTCGACGTCCAAAATGGGGAAAGTTTCTCAGGAAAGTTTGATTAATTTGCTGTCAAAATTTTGGGGTTTTGTTTTGTTGGTAAAAGAGAGATGGGCTTTCATGTCGTTTTGGAATAAAAGCCTTCTTTTCTTTGCTTACATTGGATTGGGATATATTTTTTTAGTGAGATAGATTTTATGGATATATTATTAGGTCGTGAGATCGGTTTCTCCTTTTTCATCAAGTTTCTTTTTTGACCAAAAATAACCATGTCCTAAAAAATATATATATAATTCAAAAGCCAGCGGGGGTAACTAATTAGTTGGTTGAGTCTTTCCACTTTCACCCATGTGGGTAGAAGTTCAAAACACTCAGGCACCTAATAAATATTTGTATAAATGCCCTCCATGTTTGCTTGTACTCAAAACACATATAACTCAAAAAGTTTTCAACCTAGCTTCTCTTTTGTGTTTTGGGCTGTTTAAGCCTCCATGTGAGAAAAGGACCCACTAGTGTAGTAGTTTAGAGTAATTGCTCCAACAAGCAATCCTGGATTTGAATCTTAGCATCTGTGTTGTGTGTGTGAGTTCAGTGTATTATAGCCCCTCTAAATAGGAAAAGTTCTCAAAAAAAAAAAAAAAAACCTCCATGTGATAAACCAAAAAATTAAAAAAAGTTTTCAACCAGACGTGGTTTGTTAACCATTTTGAGGATAAAATGAGGCTTCTTTCAAGACAAGGCCAACAGTCATTCGAGTTCCTATAAACAAAAATTTTCGCAGAAAATAAACTGTTTTTCTTTGCCTACTTCTTTCCTTGTTTAGATGAACCACACTTACAATAGTAGCTACTTTCAAATCAGCATCGAGCCATAGCTTACAAAGTGAATTAACCAATGTGGGAATTTGAATTGCCACAAGTCTGATTGATAAGTTTAGAGGTGGAAATTTCATTAGCTTGACAATGCAGCTGTAAGCTTCAACCTTCTTCATTGTACTATGGAGAAGCACTGGGTAAACTATAATGGGATAGTCTTGCCACGAGCATCAACCTAACCTTGCTTCTCTTCGTAGTACCTTGCAGAGGGAAAAGAAACAGACAAGATTATAATACAAAGACTCAAATGGAACACTAAATCTAGCATAGTGGACTTTCAAATACACAGGCAGGTGAACCGTGGATGTATAATTTGCAAGTGTACTCACTCCCATTAACTGAAAATTCATTCTTTGTCGTTTACAAGAATAACACGGTAAAAAAACACCCATCTGCCTGTGTATGAAAGATTAATGTAAATAATAATCAGTCACCTCTTCAGCAAATTTTATCAAAATGGTTGTTCGAGGTCGTTGCTGACCCTCCACTGGTACAAAATGAGCTGTTACTACAGCTGGAAAACCAGCACCGTCCAAAACACCCTTCATAGGAGAAGGAAATGCCAATCAGACCTTATAAGCACCAGATAAATCAATTAACAAGCAAGAAAGTACCATGGAACTTACCCTTACAATTCCAGCAACAAATGCTCCACAATTAAAGGTTCCCATGTCTTTTGGAATCGAAATAAATCTACAACCCAAAAATTGTGTATTAGCTGGATAACCAAAGCCTAAGAAACAGATAACCAAAACCTATAGATCCAGCTAATTGTAACAGTAGGAGGTATAAACTATCATTACTGCAGAAACTGTTACCGGTTCACAAGGAGCTCCTTCTCACTAATCATGTACTCATCTTCATGTTCAGTGCCTTTCTCAAGGGAATCGGCTACCTAATTTTCAGGCACCGGGAAGCAGTTAACATAGTTCCCAAGGATAAGTACATAGTGTTGTATTTCAGCCATTAAGCTCCCCTAATCATGGAAAAGATAAAAGAAAGCAAAGCAAAAGCACTAACCTTTCCAAATAACACCTTCCACACAGTGCTATGCACAAAAGACAGGATACCCAATAACCTTGTCTCCCTTCTGTTTCCCTGTGGCAGAAAAGATCCATCAATATAGCATTTGAATCAAACTCAACAAAAAGATTTTATCCAAATCCACAAACACATATAGTTTGTTTTGGATTTGGACCATTAACGTTCTAGGTTCCAAAACATCAGGATAACATTGTCATATTACAATTCCAAGAAGATGAGCACACTGCATTAATCCTTAAGTACAATTTCTTCTTCCACCTAGAAATTAGTTTATAACCACAACTGAAAGCATTTGCTAAGTTAAGTAAATTGGGCTTCTAACTACGAACTAGCAGTATATTCAAAGAATCCAATTGTGTCATTATGTATCCAAAGTGTACAGAGATTAAAACAACATATCCAGTAATCGTTAGCTCCAAACACTCAGTAAGTGGGAACTTGCCAACTTAAACGAAGAGATGGAAGCCTCACATGTTCATGCATCCAGGCTAAAACGACATAGACAAATGGAGAAGATACCTATTCTTGGTACTGAGTATTGATTGTGAAATAACCAGCATGATATTCACTGAGAAACTTATAGATAGAGAATATCTCATAAACCAAAAACACTGATATCTGCCTATTATTTCTCACTTACTGCTAGGGATGGCAATTGGGTACCTATTTATTTTGGCTATAACCCTGTGGAGGTGATGGAGGTGGTGGTGGTGGTGGTGGTGAAAACCTTATTAGATTTAATGAAGTAAGCGTCTCTTGATATTGTGATTATAAAAACTTAATTTAGGGATATTTCTGTTCAATAACAATTCCTACCTTATCCCTATGGCAAAGTAGCTCCAGAACTCGAGCCCCAACAGCATATCCTGCATCCTCCAGCCTGCTCAATTTACATAAAGCATTATTGAACTATGGTTCCAAACATATATTATAATTTCAAGAGAAGTCGATGAAGAGGAAAGAAATTGTCTTTGCTAATTGTTTCTATCACACCAAATCTCAAGATCTTCTTTTTCATGCTGTTTCACTTCCATTTTCCAATTCCATCTCTGGGCTTCTTTTTTTTAGGTTGCAGAAGAAACTGGCAATACTAGTAAACCAAACGATTCTGAGCAATAATCTTTTCATTACTCAATTACCAGCTAAGAGTTGCACAACCAGCTAACCTAATCAAACTCAGAAGTTCATTTCAGATGAAAGTGTAAACCCACAGCTTAGAACATGTTGTAGAACCATTTATAACTTAAGGAACCTGACAGAACCCCTTATAATAACCAAATTCGAATGTACATGTACTTATGATAGTAATTCGAATCACCTTCGTTCTAACTCGGCAATGTTGTCAACCTGTGTCTGGTTGTACTGCACAAGCTCCGAAAACAAGAATGCAAACGCACTCAAACTGACCTGGAACAAAAATCAAACGCAAAAATGGGCAACCAAGTAAGTATTTAACCCGTATCAAATTGCCCAAATCACAATCTATCGTAAAATTCGATAAAGGAAAAGACCCAGGTGCTCAGAACTCGGATAAAGGTCAATTGAGTATAAATTTGCAGCATAACAGTTCGAAATGAATGAAATTTAAATATTTAATTAAGGATTATAATTTTGCTTTCCTAAATCCCAGTACCCAACATACAGAAATCCCACAAAATGCAGCCATTTAGTGAGGATTAAGGTAATCTGATCAAGCATATCATAGCGATGCAAAAAGGATGTGAAACGCAGTTTGGTTCCAGAGAAAATGCATGAAATAATGAAAATTGAATAAACTAGAGATAGAGAGAGAGGACCTCTTGTTTGCCCTTGCTGAGGGGCTTGTCGAGGACATTAGAGTACTGCTTGATCTTCCCAACCCCAATCATTCTTATCTACCTCTTCCTTTTTCTTCTTCTATTTCAATAATTTCGAAGAATACGGAGATGGTGGTGGTGATGCAGATCCGATTTCGGAAGCACAACTTTTACACAACGCAACTCACTTCTGTATTCAGTATTTTCACTCGACTCGCTCCTCTTTGTGCCGGCCTGGACCGGCAGCTTTATTTATTTTTTAAATTTTATGCGTCTCAACATTATTTACTTTTTAATATTCTCCAATATTCTTTTATCAGAGTTATTTGTTTTTCCTTATTGTTTGGTGACTATGATTGAATTGTATTAGATTAGATTGGATAGAATTGGTATTCCTTATTGGTCTTAGGTTCGAACTCCATGACACCTTGATAGTGTGTGTCTGCAAGTATGAGTGTGTGTGTGTGTGTGTGAGAGAGAGAGAAACCATCCTCCCGCTGTGATTTAGGATATCGCTTGTATTAATAGTATATATATAGTGAGCTTCGGTTAAGGGACATTCTTGTAGGCCCTACCATATATTGTATTTCATTAATCCAAACCGTCTATTTTATATATATTCATTCGAAGTTCATTTCTAAATGGTTTTCGATTTGTCTAAATTTTTTGCAAAGATGATCAATAAATAAAGACTTAATAAAATAGATGGTTTCAATTGTTGCTAAAAAAAATTGTAAGGTACCCTAAAGGGTGTTCCTCAATATAAGGGGTATATATATATATCATTTATTTGCACTAGCGTCCTAAGTGTGTGTAGACTCTCAAAACTTGAGTCCAATGTCAAGGAATTTGAGCAGTTGGATTATGTATCTCACCTTGTTGGTAAGACAATTATCTTAAACAAAACACATAATGAAATTATCCTTTATCCCATTCACTTTCGTTTTTAACACCAAACATGAAATTGAATTATGCTAATCCAATGATACTCCTTATCTTACCCACCAAACAAGGACATTGTTATTCTTTTTCATCGATGGGGACGAAGACTCAAATAGGACATCTTCTAATATTAGTCAAAAGTATACTACTAGATGAATAACTAAATTGATGACAAAAGAATGTGCAGAATAAAAATAAGTAACATGAAACTAGCTATTGGATTATCGAATATCTACCTTATGCGTGAAGACCAAATACCATTTGGAAGAGGGTCCAAGCCAGAAAAGCTTGAGGCCTAGCAGGTTTGTCTTAAATTTGGATTTTACTTTTTGGAATTGGATATTCGGTATTAAATTGCCAAAATGAGAAGGCATGCTCAAGCTTTAATGGTTTTTTTTAAAATTAAAAATGTTGCATAAAAATCAAATCCCGAATGCAATGATGGAACAAGTTAGGTTTTTTTTTTGTCTGTAGTAATTTTTTTACAATTTACAATGCCACTTTCTTTTGGTGAAAATTCAATGCCTTTTCAACAATAGGGCAAGGAAGGATCTTTTGTTCAGCAAAAAAAGAAAAAAGAAAAAAGAAAAAAGAAAAAAAAAGGAAAAAGGAAAAGTGTTGGTTATTAACCCAACACGAGTTACAACTTACAAGTTACAACAAAAGCTTGTTCAACCCAAGTAGCCAACCCAAAAGTGGCACAACAACAGAGCTCTGAAGTCAAGTCTTTAGCCCATCAACAACAAAGGACATCTCAATTGGCAGCCCATGTCATGTTTACCCATTCGCTTAAGCAAAAGTGGAAAGAGAAGCCCAAAATTAGGAGCTTATATTTCTATCACCTAAATAATAATAATAATTATTAAATACATTTTGGGTATTGGAATTTAAGAAAGAAATTTGGAATGTAAACTGGGGAAAACACATAAGAAGCAACATTTTAAGTTTTACACATTGGCCATTGCTTCACTCTTTGGCTCTTGCAGTCTTGCAGACCTCAAAACCCTCTCTCCCTCTCTCTCTCTCTCACACACACACACACACACACACACACAAACACTTCCCCTCTCTCTCTCTCTCTCTAAAGCTCTGTCCTTTAGATGGAAGACGATGACGAATTCGGAGATCTCTACACAGACGTTCTTAGACCCTTTGAATCGTCCCAATCATCTTCTGCGCCGCAGCCCCACCAACCCTCCACCGCACCCCAACCTCACCGTCCGATCGATCTCAACCTCCGTAACGAAGAGGACGAGATCCTATATGCAGCTCCTCACTCTAATCCTTCTCTTCCCCACCCACCGAATACCCAAACCCTAGCTCCCGCCGACCCTGCCCCCGCCAATGTGACTAAAGATGCGGATTCAGCAGGTGGGTCTAGGGTTTTGGAGGATAAAGGTGTTGAATTACCAAAAGTCGATTCCGTGGATTCTAATATCGGTGGTAAAAGTGTGGATTTGATGGACAAGGATGTCAATTTCGACATCGAGGAGGATAACAATGAAACTGATGATATGGGTTTGGACCCGGTGATTCCAGGGCTATCGGAAACCTTGCCGGTGAATGATTCGGCGGTCAATATAGGAAACCCGGAAGGTTCTAGACTGGAAGGCGAGAGAGGCGAAGATGATTGGGACAGTGACGATAGCGAGGACGATTTGCAGATAGTGTTGAATGATAACAACCACGGGCCTATGGCTATGGAGAGAGGCGGAATAGGCGGCAACGCTGAAGGCGACGACGACGATGAAGACGGGCTCGTTATTGTGGCTGATGGTGAGCTGAACCAACCGACGGAAGAGCAAGAGTGGGGTGAAGACGGAGCACAGGCGGCTGAAGGTGAGAGAAAGGAGATGGGTGAAGCCGGGAAGGCTGTTGGCGGTGGCAGCGTGGTTGCACCCCCCAAAGTTGGGTATAGCAATCATGGGTCTCATCCATTTCATTCTCAGTTTAAGGTTAGTTTAGTTTTGTTAATATGTCGATTAATGTAGGGAACTTTTTGTATCTGGGGTCTTGTGATGTCCCCTTCTTTGATGAGAGATTAGAATTGTAAATTATGCTTTGTAATGATTGTACAATGTGAGTATGTAGTTGATTATCAGTGAAGTGAAAATTAATAATTTGAATATGTTTCAGAATTGTGGCATTTACTTGAATCGATGGTACCAGAAAATTTGAATGGAAGTCACTCAGAGAGTGGACTTGCTCAAAATACAGAATCATATATGTTATTTTTTCTCCGATTGTGTTTATTGAGTAATTTAATTTAAATAAGCTGAGCATTACCTTCTTGATGAAGTGCACTGTCTTAAGATTTTTTCCCCCAATACCAAGTAGATGACTTTGCCTTTCAGCTGTCTAGATTGTCTTCTGATAGAAGGGTTTGGGAGTTTGGAGTGTGCAGAAGATCTTCACTGTTCGAAATAGAAAATGGGGAGACACATATATATTAAAGTCTATGAAATTGATTTTTCCTTACTCCAGACAGTAACTACATTTCTTTCTACCTAGGCTTAGCTGTGGGGGACAACTGCGGTGATACTTATTGAGGAACAGTAGTAAATGTGCTATTTATGTACACTTCTCGAGTAATATTGCTACAACAGGCAATTTATTAAACAATGATGATGTGTTTGAGAACACACCTAAATATTTGACAAACCTTCACAATTTCCAATCCTCAGATTTCTTCACCGTCATAAATCTTTGATTATCATTGATACTACATTGTAATGATGATATGAAGAATTTAGATTCTACTCGGTGGATTAATTTGCGTTGCCTCTCTGAGGCACATTAACTACAGAGAGGCCTGAGGCACATTTACTACAGAGCTTTAGAATTGAGGATTAGAATGATAGTTAACTAGGCTGACTTATTGTTAACAGGCTCTGAATCTCCATAAGAACAATTACTCTCACTTCCAAAGTTGTTGCAATTGATGAGGTTTGTGTATACCACAATAAATTTTTATGTAGCATGGCCTCATTGCCCTCTAGCCTATGCCCTTTCCAATCTTGCTGCAGTAGAAGGTGCAGTTATTAAGCTATTTTGCACATTATTATTCTATGAACAAGTACATACTGAAACACTTCTTTTCCGAATAAAGCATATTGCTTGAAACTCTGGAAAATGCTAGTAGCCTAGTAATTGTGCAAGTTGTTGAGACCGTACTAGATAGGTGGCACTGGATTGCCAATGCATATTATATTTTGCCCTTAAAATAACTGAGAAATCACTGCTGTACTTAACCTATAAAATTTTGAAGGATGCAAACTAGCTACAACGTTCTGAGCTTAGCTTAAATTTCTTCACATGTTAAGTCACCGTTTTACTGCATGCGAGTTTTCATCATTTTCAGCGATTAATATCTTTGTTCAGTTATCTTTTGAGTGCATCACTTAGTGCTAATGAATCTTCATGATTCTTTTGTTCTAAATGCCTTAACAGTCACTATGGTGAATCTTCCCAGCTGGGAAACTGTTAGCTTTAGTACAGGTCCCATTGTTTATGTTGCGTTCTGCTCTCATTTGGAGAACCCCAGCATGGGTGCTCCCCATTCCTAAAAAGTAGTTTTATAATAGGTCTTCACTACCCTCAGCCCCCATTTTTTCAAAGAGCCTAGGCTACACGTGGCTGGCTGTTGATTCACTCTGCTACCATATCTCATTTCTGATTTTGTTTCTCGTAAGCAACTTAAGGAACAGTTTGGATGTTATTATTTTGTTATTTGGTAAACTGTTTTTTTGAATGCTCTATTTCTATACCTAAAAACTGTTTCTTCTTATGCAGTACGTAAGACCAGGTGCTGTGCCAATGACTGGACCAGCTACTTCTGGCCCTGGAGGAGTCCCAGGTCAAGTTCGTCCGCTTGTAAATGTGGGTCCTGTAGTTGGTCGAGGTAGAGGTGACTGGAGACCGACAGGATTAAAAAATGCTACTCCACTGCAGAAGAATTTTCATTCAGGCTTTGGTATGCCTGGCTGGGGCAACAATATGGGCGGTCGCGGTTTCGGTGGTGGGCTGGAGTTCACACTTCCTTCACACAAGTAATATTCATGATTTTAAGATATCAAGATACACGGGGAACTAGATTGTTTGTTTTTTTACTGGCTCTCGTGATAGTGCCGTACTGTCATGTTTTCTTCTCATTTTTTTTTGGGTTAGAAGATATTGTTAAGTTTTTACTACTGCATATGATATGTGAAAAATCATGCTAAAGTGATTACATTTTCTTCTTTATTTATAAATTGCTAAAGTGCAATAGGTGATGGAGTTTGTGTGTGTGTGCCCTCTGGAGCTGACATCAGTCTTCTATTATTTTAAGTGTCATGTGTAATCATTTGGTTGTTGAAAGTTGGGTTTTCTCATTATTGTTTCTTGAATTTGCTTGTGTTTTCCAGAACCATATTTGATGTTGACATTGATGGTTTTGAGGAAAAACCTTGGAAATATCCTGGCGTTGATACATCAGACTTCTTCAACTTTGGCTTAAATGAAGAAAGCTGGAAAGATTATTGCAAACAGCTGGTAACAATCAAAACCTATAGCATATTGTCTAGTGTATAAGGGAATGCTATAACTGCCCCTATATTTTAAATTTGCAGGAACAGCTTCGCTTGGAGTCCACTATGCAAAGCAAAATTCGTGTTTACGAAAGTGGACGAACAGAACAGGTAATGAGGCGATTATGGACCTCAAGAAAATGTATTGGCTATTTGAGTTTTTAAGTATTTATTCTTTGCAACCATATGTTGGTGAAACGTGAAAAAGGAAAGTTTGCCTTTTCTTGTGTTCATCACAGGAGTATGATCCAGATCTACCCCCAGAATTAGCAGCAGCAACTGGCATTCACGATTTTCCTGCTGAAAATGCAAATCCTGGAAAGTCAGATGTTGGGCAAAGTGATTTAGTGAAAGGATCTGCTCGTCTGCGTCCACCTATAGTATGTATAGATGGTTTCATTTCTGAACTTTTTTTTCTTCTATAAAGACAGTATCTTGCCTTTTAAGTTTTGCTATCTCACAGATCTTGTATTTCTTGTTATCTATATTCTTGATCTGCGCATCTTGTGCAATTGCATTGATAATGCTAGCTCTTGTTGACCTGATGAATGGTTATGTTAGTTTCGGAGCTCATGCTCATTTCCTAAGTCCATGGTTGAATAAATTTCTTGACAGCCAACTGGAAGAGCAATACAGGTGGAAGGTGGTTATGGTGAGCGTCTCCCTTCCATTGATACCCGACCACCTCGAATTCGTGATTCAGATGCAATTATTGAGGTAGTAATCTGTTAGTGTATTGATCCCATCATTGTGTGTTCAATTCGTATTTTTGGCTAGGCAATATAAGTTAACTGCTGGCTTTTCTGTAAACAGATTGTCTTGCAGGATTCTTTAGATGATGATTCCTCTGCAGGAAATGGTATCCCAGAGAAAACTGAAAATGATCGCCCTAGAGAGGATTTTGGTAGAAGTGCTGTTGGTGAAGGAGACCTCGTGCAGGTTGATAGTGTGTATTTTGATGGTTTTCCTGCCCCTTATAACGACCGAAAGAGGGAGCCGGTTGGAAGAAAAATTCCATTCCATGATAGCATACCAGAAGTAGAAGGAATCTTGCCCTTCCCTCCAGAAGCGCCAGTCCCATACACGGGTTCTGGGGGAGAGACTCCTAGTTATCCTGGCGGAAGTTTTGGTTCCACTTTTGAGGAAAGGTACTAGGATTGTTATGTTGAAAATTGCCACCCTTATTGAGAACTCCGGGATGGGGTTAATAATGAGGAACTCTTTTTCAGTACAGAGTGCGAGAGCATAGTTTGTTTGCTTGATTTGATGGTGAATTTATAAATATGAACTTAACAAGATTAGAGTACAAACTTCATGAATGCCTTTTAACTCTCTTCTTATTGATACAGGGGAACACAGGGAAGAGCACGGGAAAGATCTCCTCATGTGACTCCTAGCCGGAATACAAGGGACAAAAAATTTCTTGACAACCAGAAGGAAGAATCCGCGGAAAGCATGGATGGTAAACGTAGTCCGCTGATATCGTCTCCTGTCACAAATAGGGGTGCCTGCGAGTCAAGTGTTGAGTATAGAGATAGTGACCAAGATGAGCCTGTGCTGGCTGATGGAAGCTCTGGAATGGAAAAGGAGGAAATAGCTACGGTTACTGTAAATGATGAACTGCAAGATGGGCCTCCAAAGCATAAAAAATTAAGTTCAAGAGTTGAACAATCTGCCGATGAAGAACTCGATGATGGCGAGGACTCAAAGGCTGCAAGAAGTAGTGACAACAGCAAAGCAAGATCTGGAAGCAGCAAGGATTATCAGAAGTGGAGGGATGGGGTTGAGGAGGAAGTCATTCAAGGACGTTCAACACACATGGGGGGCATCAAGAGGCACCTTAATGAAAATGAGCAGGGGTTCCAAAGGAAAAACCGTGATGGTAGACAGGAACCAGATAGAAGTCACACGGTAGTAAAAGGGAGGGAGGACTCTTATCCTTATAAAGACTGGGATCCTAGCTCTGCTCATCCATTGCAATTGAAAAATGATGGGCTTCATAGGCGAAAGGAAAGGGACAATCTTGACGGGCCATGGCAACGGAGAGATGATGAACCTTATGGCAGAAGGATTAGAACTGAAGAAACAAGGAAGAGAGAGCGTGGTGATGAAATGGGATCCAGGCACAGGAGTAAGGCTCGAGAAAGTGAGCGGAGTGACAAAGATGAACATCTTCAGTCAAGAAAACAGTTAGATAATGGCAGCTATAGGGTTTATCATGATAAGGATGTTGGCTCACGACCCAGGGAAAGAGAAGGTAGTTTGAAGGGTATGGATGATTACCACGGCAAGAGAAGGAAAGATGAGGAATATATGAGGAGAGACCATATAGATAAAGAAGATTTTGTGCATGGCCACAGAGAAAGTACCAGTCGCCGAAGGCGTGAAAGGGATGAAATTTTGGATCAGCGTAAGAGAGATGACCAGCAGAGAGTTAGAGATAATCTTGATGATCCACACTCTGTCAGGCACAAAGATGAAAGCTGGTTGCAGAGGGAGAGAGGTGATAGGCAAAGAGAAAGGGAGGAGTGGCATAGGGTTAAACAATCCCATGAGGAAAATATACCCAAGCGGGAAAGAGATGAAGGACGAGTTGCTATAAGGGGTGGGCGTGGTGCAGAAGACAAAGCATGGGTGGGCCATCCTAGGTCAAAGGATGAAAGCAAAGGCTCTGATAAGGAGCACCAATATAAAGACACTGTGAGACACAGTGAACCATCTAAAAGGAGGGATAGGGTTGAGGAAGAAAGCTCGAATCATAGGGGGCGTGAGGATGTTTATGGACGTGGAAATCAATTAAATAATGATGAGAAGAGATCCGGAAAGGAGAGATCAAGTACTCGTAATGAACGTGCTGACAACCAAAAGCTCCATGATAGAAGACCTAAAGAGAATACAAGGAAGAATAAAGAATCTGAGATTGCTGATAACAGCACTACAGTTACTTCCAAGAGACATCAAGAAGATCAAAGTGGTCACAGTAAGGAGATGGTATGTTCCCTTCTTGACATCAGTTCTCTTGTTTAATTTGTTTGTTGTTTTTTCCTTTTAATTCTTGTATAGTTTTTCTTCCTTGAAAAATAATGTATATAGGGTGCAAGCTTGATTTCGGATGACAGTTCTAATAAAATCCCAATTCTTTTTCTTTGTCATAACAATGGAATTCTGATATCAAATGGATACTCCACACTGAGCATCTGCAAAGTAGACTTTCACTGGTGTGGACCTATTCTCTTCCATGTTTCACAGCTGGAGTGTGGGTTCAGCTTTTCATTTCCTCCTTTCTTTACAAGTGCTAAAATCAGAAGATTGTATACTTGTCTTATCCTAATTAGTGGTAGCTTCTGCTCATGGAATTTTCGCCCAAATAACATGTATGTGCAGGGTCAGCAGTGATCACATATTCAATGATTTGGTACACTCTGCTGAGACTAATAATCATGTTTTAGCTGCATTTGAGTTTGCTCATGCTATCTTTCTCCATTCAACTTGTGGTTCAATTAGTGTAGGCCGTACTGAAGGGTATGACTGACCCACATTATGTGAGGGAAAACGGAAGTGAGCTCCTGCATATTGCAGTTGGATAGAACAATAACAAATGGAACAACATTTATATTTACTAGTTGACAGCTTACAGACTAATCCAGGAATTTTCGTGCAGAGCTGTGCTTGTTATTCATCATCACTTTTTGTCCTTTGTACTTGACCCTAGTTTATTAATGAAGAATGTTTCCTCCTGGGGTGGGCTCTTTTCTCATTATTGCTTCTTTTGCCCCTTTAGGGCATGAAAGGTACCCGTGTGCAAGGAACTGGTGAGGGAATCCCACAGCACCGTCACTCTTCCAAAAGGCATAAGGAAGATGCTTCCTCTGATGATGAACAACAGGATTTAAGAAGGGGTCGCTCCAAATTGGAACGCTGGACGAGCCATAAGGAGAGGGATTTCAGTATCAACAGTAAATCATCATTAAAGTTGAAAGAGCTTGATAGGAGCCACAACAGAGGATCCTCAGATGCCAGTAAACTTCCGGAAGAATCTTCCAAACCAGTTGAGGCTGTTGATAATCAACATTCATTGGTTGAGGAGAAAGATGCCGGTGATCAGGATATTAAGGATGCAGACACCAAACAATTGGATGCAGACACAAAACCATTAGAGGACCGGCACCTGGACACAGTTGAGAAGTTGAAGAAAAGAAGTGAGCGTTTCAGGCTTCCAATGCCAAGTGAAAAAGAAGCAACAACAATAAAAAAGTTGGAGAGTGAAGTGCTGCCTACCACCAATAGTGAGACTCCTGTGGAATCTGAGATTAAACCAGAGCGGCCAGCTAGGAAAAGAAGGTGGATCAGCAACTGAATCCAACATTAAGGAACTTAGGTTAGTTGGCTGAATTTCTGTGGCATGAGGGAAGTTATGCATCTCAACTCCCTTGCAGTGCGCAATCATTCAGCTTGTTTTGAAATGGTTTTTGTAGGGTTCCCTAGAAGGCCATGTACCTCTGCGCTGCAGTAATATAATCTTGTAACCGTGCTGCCACAGCATACTTATCAATGTTTTCTTTTGTATATACTGGTGATTGTAACATTGAACTGGCCACTAATGTGGCGCAGGACTGCTTTTAGCAACTATTCTTATTTTTGTTGCTCAGGTATAATCTTGGCCTAATTCGAGGGACATCTATCAGACCTGGCAAATGCTGTTCATTGGATCCATGTAGAAGCCAGGCGCCATGGGATGCAACACAAGAACTTGATACAGGCAAGAAGCTTCAAGGCTGAAGAAAATGAGAGTGAGGAGCCAATTGACACGAGAGAAGCTTTTCCAATGTGTTTGGAGATGACGACCTCACCGGTGATGGTGAAATGAATTAGAACTTATATCTGTATACTGTATCTTGATCAAATTCTTTTACCCCTTTTTCTCTTTTTGGTTAAAAGAAACAGAGAACTGGTGGTGAGCTTGAAACACACGACATTTGAAACCCATTTGTATTTTTGGAACAAGTGAGTTTTAAAAACAACGGATTAGTAGAAAGTTAATGTAACAATAGAAAAAGGAATAATTAATGGTATTATTCTAAATTACATAAATCTCTTCTTGTACGTGTTATGGTGTCCCAGTGCTCCTGTGCTAGTTGCATGAAGGAGCACTGTTATTCTCCTTTTGTGTCACCATCTGTTCCATATATGCATATGGTATTCGGATCCTTTGCTTGGTTTTTCTCAATATATTCATCATTTTTGAATGTTAAATTGACGCTGCAATTGGTGATTTGGATTGCTCTTCACTGTTTTGTCCTAAGTTCGAATCAAAATGGGTCATGTGTCCTAAGTTCTAAGCTAAAAACTTCACAAAAGCCCTCCTTAGCACCCAAAAAGAGGGTGGAAATTTTTTTTTCTTTCACAAAGGTTAAACCGTCAAAAACCCCAATTAACTATAATGCTTGTCGAAATATCCACCTTAAATTATTTTTTCAACTAATTTAACCATCAGACTATTTTAAATGGTCAATTTAGCCCATGCCATTAGTTTTCATGTAGTTTCATCCAATTTTCCGTTAAAAATAATTAAATCTTTAAAAACTAAAAGGCGAAAATATAAAATTAAAAAAAAAAAAAAACCCTAGCAATCAACGTCTTCCCTACCCCATCCCTCAGACCCTCTCTCTGCAATCCCACATCCGCAAGGTTTTTCCAGTGAAAGAGCAGCAGCGGAGGTGGAGAAGGAGGACTTGAAGATATCCCCACCTCTACAACACTGCCATGGACATTGCTATGTTTTTCAGAGCAAACCAATTTGCAATGTTCTCAAGCAAACCAATTTGGGTTTAGGGATTTCTTCCTTCCTCTTTCTGGGTTTTGGGTTTAGAAATTTACAAACCATAGCTTGATGGTCTGCGACAGCATCAGCTGGGTTGGGTGCTAAAAATTGATTTTTTTTCTCTGGTTCTTCAAAGAGCTCGAATGGGGAAGAAATAAATCGGGAGGAGGGGGGGAGAGGGGATTCTGGTTTCTGCAGGTGGGGGGTGGGAGGAGGGGGGATGGGTCTGTGGGTGGTGGTTGGTGGTTGGGAAATGGGGGCAGAAGAAATCAGAATGAGGGAGAAGAAATCAGGGGAGGGGTGCTGATTCTGGGTTTTGCGGAGTGGGGGGAATGGGGGAAACTAGAATTTATAAAAAAATCTGAAACTAGAAAAAGAACTCCAAGAACCAGCAAAACCCAATCCTTGTCGAGCTTTAAACTTTATGAACCATACAAAATTGACAACACCCAAGGTGGTTCCAACCATAAATTCTTCACTCAATTATTATTATTATTTTTTTAATAACAAAAACATTATCTGTAAAGCTATAAATACATATCGTCTCAGCTGCCCAAGTCCATCTCCACCTCTTCCCCACCTGCCCTTCAGCCCATTGTTGCCCGTAGAATTTGTCCTTTCACTGGGAAGAAATCAAACAGGGCAAACAAGATTTCCTTCTCAGCTCACAAGACCAAAAAGTTGCAGTTTGTGAACCTACAATACAAGAGGGTTTGGTGGGAAGCTGGGAAGCTCTTTCTTAAACTACGTTTATCAAGTAAATCATTGAAAACGATAGAGAAAAACGGAATTGATGCCGTTGCCAAGAAGGCTGGGATAGATCTTCGCAAGTTATGATACTCGGGGTTGTGTTGTTTATCCCCACTTATTCTGACATGCCTGATCACTGTATTTTGTTCTAATCAAATTACTTTTTGTTCCTATTTTACCCCAGTATCTTGTGAAAAAGCTAACGGCCGGGGTGAGGCGAATAAATTTAATACAAGGGCTAAATTGGCTGAAAAATTAATTGAGGATGGAGATTTTGACAAGCGTGATAGTTTAGGTGGATATTGGGCAGTTTACCCCTTTCACAAAAGTACCTTGGCGATTGACCAAAAAGAAAGAACTTCGCTTGGAAACCCATTGGTTTTACGTGGAGCCCTGCCAACTAAGGATGACCCGACCTAGTATTTTAGGAAGGCTGTGAAAATGTTTAGGGTGATAATGGTTAGAACATCCACAATGGGCTTCCTAAACCACATTCTTAGACAAATTTTAGGGATGAATTGGAAAAATACAACTCTAATCATGCTCCCTATCCACCTCCTAAAATACAAAGACCTCTAGGAGCTCCTAAATATGAGGAAAAAGAAAGGACTCTAGTGACTCCCTATAATTTAATTTTGCTTTGTTTTATACATATTTTAAACTTTTAATTAATACAAACTATTTTTATATATATATTATTTTGTATAGAGATAGACCAATTATATTGAATTAAAAAATAATTATAGTATTTATGACTCTCTAAACTAGGGAATATGATTAAAGTTCAAATTTTATAAAGAGTTCTTAAAATAACTTTTGTATGTTTTTAGCTAAATTTTAATTAAAAAATAAGGAACATGTTGTAGATGCCCTATAGTAAATAATACCGAGACACAGACGAAACTTCTCAGTTTGGAATCTTCACAGCCTGTTAAGACGTGTTCATCGTCAATAATGAATAATGGGGTATCTATCAGCATCAATATAGCAATGGATAAACTTTAGACGCTGAAAATAAATGGAAATGGAATATATATACCCTCAAAATCAAGTCATTTTGTGTGGTTTTCCCGAGACTCACAGTAACGTACTTGCGCATCATGTGCAGTGCAGGTTCATCAACAATACTAATACTACAGTCGAACTCGATACATGTCATCGTCTCAGGCGTTCATTCAGATCTGTAAGTCTAGCTAGCTTAATCTTACTGAGCAGAAAGAGAGGCAGTGAGATTCAGACCCAAAAAGGAAAAAAGAAAAGAAAAGAGAGGCAGTGAGTGAGAGTACTGTTATAGAATGGAAAAACCCTCTTGGGTTCTTACTTTTGTGGCGCAGGCATGTTTGTGCTTTAGTCTCTACCTTGCTTTTCAACTGGGTCAGCCTCAGAAGCCTATTTACCATGGTACAAGTGGGACGAGACCCCTTGATCTTTATTTTATCAGCGTTGGAGGGGGCTTCAGACCTGTCAATCAACAGACCCATCTTCTCAAACAGGTCAGTTTCTTAAGTTATAATGCTTCTTGAATAATCAAGTAAGGAATTTGGCCTATATTCTATAAAGCAAAGATTTTTATCTCCTCTAATGCTATCTTGGTGGATATGATTGTTGTTAATGTTAGGAAATATGGGGAAACTCGAAGGAAATAATCTACGTTATACAGTGTGGTTTTGTTTTGGTGCTAAATGAAAGGCTCGGCTGAATAACCGGGTGGGAGTAGTACTATGATATTGTTTGCAGAGGAATCTTGTTTCCACTTTTTCCTTTGGTTACTTTAAGTGAGCAGAGTTGTGAGGGCTTTGACAATATTTTCCCTGGATTAATTGTGGTTCTTCTTGTTGATAAAGATGGAGAAGGTGGTAAAGAAGTACAAGGCAAAGTTCGTGGTGGACATTAGTGATCTTGGGAAAGATGATCCGCTCATGCAGAATGTAAGGTTTTTTTTCTCTTTTTTTTTCTCAAAGCATTTGAGCTGCAAAGCCACCATTCTGCTTGATTATTGAAGTATGTATCTCTCAACATGGAAGAAAGACCTTTTAAGAATCTTAATATGATGGGATTAATCATAAATGGAGGTATATTCTATGAACTTCAACAAAATGGATAAAGTTGATAGATTACAATTGTTAAAGACTAGAAGTTGTTCCTTTCTTTGGTTTCAACTGTTGGTAACAATGGTGGATGTATTCTTTTACAGGGTACTCTGCTTTTCTCATCACTGAAACTTCCCTGGTATGCTGTCCTCTAGGCAATATTCTTTGAATTGGGTACATTTATCTAATATAATGTTCTTATTGCCGTGTCTGAGGTTCAGCTATGCTGTTTGCACTGTTGTTTATTTTTTCCTGGTTAAGGCATGAATAGTAGCACTTGTAGGTACACCACTAGAGTTTCAGAAAGACACGGAGGAGGTTACTTCCAAAAGAAGATCAATTTACCTTACGAGAAAACCTTAGATGTCATTGTGGTGGATACTGGATTGTTACAGGTATGTATTATTTTGTTTTTCAATTTTATCTATCCGATCCTATTTTGTATAGATTTCCTTCTTTGCTTGACTGGCAGTTCATCCAAGGGTTGATAAATATATTGTTTCTGCTGTATATATGTATCTTTTTGTTCTACTTTCTTACTTGAACTTATTTTCAACGTGAAGGGCACCGGATCATTAGGTGGGTTCGGAAACAATCAGTTAAATTGGCTGAAAAGGACACTAGAAGTAACCGGTAGTAACTGGTAAAATTAATTACTTGTATGGCCCTGCTAGTTGTAGTTGATTCATGTTCTTGGCTTTTCTGATCTTATGTGCTAGCAATATCTTAAAAACACAAAAAAGCTTGAAGAAATTGTGAAATGTTCTTTCAATTTTGGTGTTTTCTGATAATTGATATTTCATGACTCATATTGTTTCTGTGTTTTGAAGCTGTTATTTTTGCAATCCAACTCTAAAATTCTGGTTTTCATTATGATGCTTACATGAACTGGAATTTCTGCGGTATAGAAGATATGACTTTAAGAATTGGTTTCCAACTAGCCCTCACTCCTTGAGCTTTTTTTTTCAGTAAGTGATAACTAATCTTCCAATGTCAAACTGGCTTGTATTGTCATATAGGCGCATAGTCGTTGGATTCCACCCATTGGCTATTTGTGAAGATGGTGAGGAGGGAATGGGAGCAAAGAAAGTTTTTGAGTCTCTACAACTTATTTTTATGAAATTTGAAGTGGTAAGAATTTTTTTTTTCTGTATTCACTAAAACCTTATTTCTGCACCGATTCCAAGTAAAATGCCAAATCTGACTCCCAAGTCCTCTCCTCACCAATACATGTTATTCTCCAGAATGCATACTTAAGTGGGCAGGGTTGCGCTAGCAGTGTCCAACGACGCAGCCTGAGCTACCTTGGGAACCCGGGGCGAATGGAGGATGGTTTTCTTCTTCATAGAGTCAGCACACTAAAGATTGTGGGTATTCATTTCTTGTGCTGTTTCATTACAGCTTTATTTTATTAAAAAGGTATCCCTTGTCTATCATGTTTGATACATTTGTTCTTTCCTTATTCTGGGCTGCAGGTAACCTACTTTGTCAGCTCAGGTGGGGAAGTTGTGCATAAATCTGTACTCCATCAGAGGGGTAAGGAGATCATGTAAATTGTGTTCAAGAGGACCTAGCTCTACCCATTCTTTTAACAATCCGTCTCTCAGATTTATTCTGAGTGTAAAAGTAAAAGCTATGGATTTTTAAGTAAACAAACCTTCATCTTTTTGACAATAGGAGTAGATTATTCGTTCACATATGTTGCTTTTACATGCTTCAAGCATCTTAAGAGCCCATGGGTAGAACTTGCCCTTAAAAACCGGCTTGTAAGGGAAGGATGGCCTGTGAAATTACACTTTTGTCTTTCTCACAGGCTTCCATTTCCCTTGCCTGACCTAACTATATTTATGATACAACCTTCCTACGCATATCCTCAAACCCAGTATTGCGAAAGCCCACTTGGTTATGGGAGCAGTGTCTTTTGTTTTTCCTTAGCACTAAGAGAATAATACTGAGTAACAGATCTACCTTGGATTTGTTGCAATCTGTCCTCAATCATCTATGTTTCCTTATCTGTAACTATAAATATGTAATGTGCCTTTTGTAAACGGCAGGCTGAATGACATTTGCAATTTCTTTCTTTTCATTACTATTTTATTGAAGTATCCTTTGCAATTTCTGCTCTTTCATTTACAAACTCCTTTCTATAAGCCACACCCTATCAATTTATCAATCTGAGCCTCCTCCTCCTCCTCCTCACTTATACTCTAGTCTCTATCGTCTCTCTTTAGTCCTTATTATTTCTTTTTTAGTCACATTCAGTAATTTCTTGTAAAGGTCGCGTTTTGCGCTCTCAACCAGGGCATTGGAAAGGGAGTCACACATTTGCTACTAAGCAGATTAATGGAAACCCAGGTTGTTAAAAATTAGAGATTACAGAGAAAATATCATAATTTTGAATCGTAGGCATAGAGATTCTATAAAATACATATATATATCACAGCACAGAGAAAAAAGCTAATCGTTAGTTATTAAACAAACAAAAAAAGATGAAAAATTTATGACCAAGATCAGCATCACATCAAATCATAACTCGTTAAATTTATCAACGAAATAAATTGTATTTATTTTTTTGTGAAAAAGTAAAGTGCAATTAAACAAAAAAAGCCCAAAAAATTATAGAAGTATTTTTTGGTGAAAAGTTAAATGGATATTACCCAACTAGAGAGACCCACCCGATAGCCATACCACCCAAATTAACCCAAACTCAAATCAAACCCCATTTGTTTTCAGAGCTCTCCCTCCCTCCTTCCTTTACAATTACTTATCGTCGCATCTGATCTCACTCACGACGAAGCTTACCTTGACACTCCAGCAACCAGGTTTCACTTCTCCCTTAATAGTATAAAGTCTTATTCTTTGATAAGCTTTTGCAATTTTAATGTGTTTTTGTTTCTGGGTATTGCACATTCTCTGTAACTTTGATTTTCCTCTTTCGAATTCAGGATCTCTGGCTGGTGTTCAAATGGTAATTAGATAAAATCAATCCCCATCCGTGACTGTTTTGCCAGCACTGACTCACTGAGCTATCGTCCATCGCCGGTAAGTCATCCTTTTTAGTTTCTCTAGTTTTTCATGGAATTTGTTTACTTTCTTTCTGGCAGAAAGAAGTGTGAAAAATATTACAAAATGAAAGTTATAGGTTGAGTTGTTTTGAGTTCAATTTTCCCTTCTGCTTGCACCAGCTGCTCTTCCTTTTCATCAGCGTCTCCCTCACTTCTGCTTGGCTCTTTTGACTTTTTGATCCGTTACTGTCATACCCAATATGAACATCAATCCCAAATTGGTTTTTTATTATAAATAAAAAAAACCCCTTTTTGACCTCGCGGCTCTGTTTAATTTTGCAATATTGTGTGACTTTATGAAATTTAATTATTCAATTTTCTATTTCATTAGATAACATATTGTGCTTCTGTCTGTCTTGTTTCCATGTAATTTGCCTCTGTTTGTGTTTGATTCAATGAGAATTCTGATGTGTTTTTATTTGTTTTCTCAGTGAATCTGTCTGCATGATTATGGATAATACCCAGATGCTTGTGTTTTGTTATGCCAATCCATATGTGGATCGCGTTTCTCTTGATTTTTGCATTTTATTCAGATGATATAGTAATCAAATCGTTCAGGAAAGTTTGCAATGGATTTTCTTCTTTTCATTTGGGTTAAAACTTTCTATGATGATACTGCATTGCATTCAAATTTGCTCCGTTCCTCCTCACGCAATTACAGTTTGATTTTAGTTTTGTAACTTGTTCAAAGAAAAATTAAACCTTGAGTTTTGATTCTCAACATGTTCTTTTGCTTCATCCGTTATTCCAAGTATAACTCTCCTCTCCTTATTTTTCCTTAACTTTCTTAGAGAAATTTTCTGATAACAGCTATAATAAACACTTGAACATCAACTGCAGATGATAAACACTTCAAAAGTTCTTTGATAGTCTAGCATTAGCTGCAGTTTTCCTGTTTCTTAGACCCTGATGTCTCTCAGAAAGCCCCCGCTTCCCCGTCTCCTTCTCGACAATGTCTCTTGTATGAGGAATGCCCAACAAATCTTGAGACATGTAAATGCCTCCATTCATGATGGTGGAGCACTTGTACTGATGGGCACTAATGGCTCAGGCAAGACTACCTTCCTGCGTATGTTGGCTGGATTTTCTCGTCCTTCAGCTGGTCAGGTCCTGTGGAACGGGCATGACATCACAGATTCAGGTGTTTTCCACCAGTACAAGCTTCAACTTAACTGGCTCTCCCTTAAAGATGCTGTGAAGGAGAAGTTCACAGTTCTGGACAATGTTCAGTGGTTTGAAGTTCTTGAAGGCAAGCAGGGGAATTCAATGCCAGCTTTGGAGCTGATGGGGCTTGGGAGACTGGCAAAGGAGAAAGCAAGAATGCTGTCGATGGGGCAGCGGAAAAGGCTGCAGCTCGCGAGGTTGCTGGCAATGGATAGGCCAATCTGGTTGCTTGATGAGCCTTCTGTTGCTTTGGACACTGAGGGGCTGAAGTTGCTTGAATATATCATTGCAGAGCATAGGAAGAAAGGTGGAATTGTGATTGTGGCAACACATCAGCCAATTGAGATTGAAGATGCTATGTATTTGAGGCTGCCACCTAGGTTCCCAAGGAGGATGACTCTGGTAGATATGCTTGATCGTTCGGATTTTTGAATTTAAATTTACAAGGAAAAAATTTTGTCATTGAGATTATGAGATTGAGAAGTCCTGTTAGTGGTGTTCAGTAGAAGATTCTAAGCCATTGCAAAATGCAAATTATGGACTTCTGATTTCTATAGTTAATGGTAACAAAACGTTTTTGCATATTTATTATGCATGTTAAATTCTGGACTCTCATACCAATTACCAACTTTTTTCTTTCGGTTACAAGAGGGGACGAATCTGAAAATTAAAATGAAATAACAAATAACATTTCGAGTTGACACCCAACTCAATCTATATCATCCAAAATAGGAGCCAAATAAGTAGGTAAAATAAGAAGAAAATTTTGTATACAACGGAAATAGCACTGTTTTGCAATCCCTAATGTAAGTTCTTCTCAAGTCAAAATTATGAAAACCCAAAGACAAATTGTGTCCAAATATCTCTTTAGCTATTTTTTTTTTATGTCCCCATCTTTTCATGATATGACCATTGTGTCCCAGAAAGTTTCATGATACCTGACTGACCAAAATACCCTTCCCCCAAGTCCGGAGCACTATAAAATAGGCCTGAGGCAGCAGGAGGTTAGGGTTTAAGGCTCATTAGTTTAAGAATGAGGCTTTGCTCTCAGAGAGGCCGTTTGGGGTGTTCCTGAGGGTTGGTTGCCACCTCTCTGAATGTCTGCGGAGCCGATGATTTTCACCCAACCTTATGTTACATGCGATGCAACTAAACAGCTCTCTTCCTCTCCCTCGTCCTCTTCCTCATCATCATCATCATCATCTTCTGCTTCTTCTTCTTTTCTCACTCTCTCTCTCTCTCTCTCTCTCTCTCTCTCTCTCTCTCTCTGTGTAATAGTGACTCTCTCTCTCTCTCTCTCTCTCTCTCTCTCTCTCTCTCTCTCTCTCTCTCTCTCTCTCTCTCTCTCTCTCTCTCTCTCTCTCTCTCTCTCTCTCTCTCTCTCTCTCTCTCTCTCTCTCTCTCTCTCTCTCTCTCTCTCTCTCTCTCTCTCTCTCTCTCTCTCTCTCTCTCTCTCTCTCTCTCTCTCTCTCTCTCTCTCTCTCTCTCTCTCTCTCTCTCTCTCTCTCTCTCTCTCTCTCTCTCTCTCTCTCTCTCTCTCTCTCTCTCTCTCTCTCTCTCTCTCTCTCTCTCTCTCTCTCTCTCTCTCTCTCTCTCTCTCTCTCTCTCTCTCTCTCTCTCTCTCTCTCTCTCTCTCTCTCTCTCTCTCTCTCTCTCTCTCTCTCTCTCTCTCTCTCTCTCTCTCTCTCTCTCTCTCTCTCTCTCTCTCTCTCTCTCTCTCTCTCTCTCTCTCTCTGTAATAGTGACCGAAAGTCAAGAGGCGGTGATGATATTTGTAGCTTCTGTAAAACCAGACCGTGGAAATGGTGACCCGGTTTCCTTGGCGGGGCGACCCGGTTGCTCTGTTGGTGAAAATGACTGTTCTGTCCTTTCATCCACAGGTAGCGCCCGTAGTCGCAGCCATGGAAGGCCGCGTTTCCTTCCTCTTTTGTCTGAAAAAAGGCGAATCTGAGCCTCGTTGTCTCTTTGTTGATTTCCATATTTTATCGAATATTATTATTTTTCCCCTGTTTTTTTTATAAATTTTTTTAATTTTGCTTGGAAAAATTATGAGCGAGCGACCCATAACCCTTGGTAAAAGATTAAACCTTTTACCATGTTAAATACTCAACTTGATCCAATGATGTAATAAAATTTTGACCTTTACTTGATATCAAGTTGATCTTAATTAAGGGTAAGGGATATGGTTAATGAAAAAAAACAGATTAGTATTGTTGGTTTGAGTTGATTGACTGGGATGAATGGAATGGCATCTTGAAAACAACATAATTGAATTGATATAAATTTAACTAGTCAGAATAAATCTGTCTAATTTGCGATATTTACTATACTATATAAATTATGTAAGTATATTACAGACTCACGTAATCTTAGAAGCTCAAGGCCAAGGTTACTTAATTTGCCAGCAAAGCGAGAACCACTATGGCAACTAAAGAAAGACAAATATTGGCAGCATTTGCGAAAGCACTTGACTTTTCAGAAGATCCAGGAGCAGGTGTAGATTTGGAGCCGGAATTAGTTGAATCAGAGCTGCTGCTGGAGGGTGGTGGGCTGGTCTCGTTTTTCTTCACCACTTCAGGAAGCGGGGGGTCAACGACATTGGAAGTTTGAAGAGCTGGGCTTGGGGCTTGTGCTGGTGACAATGCCTCGGGGGCTACCAAACCCAGCAAAGCACCAGGTTCCACTGGTAAAATGGGATATGGGATATTGGCCTTGGGGTCCATATCATTACATGGGCACCCTGCAAGTTCATGTCAAAACTTGTTGTGAGGGTGGTTTTATTATGTAACTAAACAGAAAAATAACACTACTATACCAATAATACTTACTCATATATTTGTTAGCAGTTGCTGGGAAATCGGTGACGATGCCATCAACTTGGAACTCTAGAGCATATGATGCAATCTCTATGATGGGGTCGGAGAAATAATCAAACATGAGACTGACGAACTCATTCTTCAGCCAATGGACATACACCGAGATGTTTGCGGCCTTCATTTCCTTGACAACGTTCGTTTTCCCCGAAATGAAGTAATCGCCAATTTTGACAATGGAATCTTTGGAGACAGTTACTGCGTCTGCAAACTTCTTGATCTCATCCACGGATGCCTTGGGTGCATCACTTATTTTCTCCTTAATGTTGAGCACCCTTCTGTATGTTTTCACATCTTTGAACTTGGACAGCACTGAAGTGTCATCTGATTTGATCAACACTTGCTGAGTGGATTGCTTGTCAAATGTGGCATTGCTCAAGGCAGAGGTTACAGTTTTCACAATGTCCAGACCTGCCTTTGATGCTAGGTACGCAGCATTCTGACAATTCATCCCACAACATCGTTAACTTTGAGCAAAAATGAATATCTAATAAGAAGAGTTTGAGAATCAAAATGAATGAAACTATTAAAAGTCTTGCCTCAATGTTGATCAAGATTCCAGTAACTGCCTTTGTCTTAGAAAACTCCAGGAAGTCAGAGAGGGTCACCAGTTTGCCCACGTCCTTGTTAGCTGGGTTTCTATATACTTTTTCCTTAGTTCCGTACGGGCTTTGTATTTGAGCTGAAATAAAAAGAGCCAAGATGAACCGTTAACGGGTGAGATGGGATTTTCAGAAGCTTGCTACTTACTAGCAATATCAGATTTTGAATTAAAGAAGCTTACGTTTCAAGCTCTGAATCTCATCCCATGAGAGCTGGAATGAGAAGACTCCAGCTTCTGCTTGAAGTTCAGGGATAGTCTCACTCTTGGTCATGAACTGAGATAATGCATTAGTGCCTGAGTTGAGGTCTATGGTATCTAAGCAGAAGGCAACTCCATCACTTGACAGTTGAACTGAGCAATCTATTATGTCAGCCCCATCATCTACTGCTTGCTTATAAGCAAGGTCTGTGCTGCCAGGATAGGTCCCACTTGCTCCATTTCTTGTTATGATCAAAGGAAGTCCTGCAAAGTCAAAAGTTCTATAAGAAACTTCCTAACAACAATATTACAGGATTCACAACACAACTGTTGGCGTACAAAAGTTTCTAGAATATTCTTACCTTTTTTAGGCTTGGTACCATTATTGTTCTGTGCAAAGCATGCTGCACCAGGGAAAGCATTGGCAGGTTAATTGGGGCAGAAATCCAATATTTGTTTTGTGAAATGAATGTCTGTGTCAAGTAGGTGCTATTAAATTGAATGAAACATAAGCAAAGGCTGATATCTCACCAATGGTTTCGGATGCGGTAGGAGGGAAATCTGTAAGCACCCCATCAACAGAAAAGTTTGGCTGATCTACAAACTGCAGGTACTCAGCTGTTGGATCAAAACTGTAATTATAAGGGAGCACAATGTCATTTGCGAAACCAGAAGCATGTACTTCTAGCCCTTGTTTGTGAGCCTCAGTCACGAGTGTAGTGGCAGCCTCCAAATAGTTGTTCTTATTGACAGGCCATATGTATTCTTTTGGGACAAGGATTCCAGCTGCAACTGACTTGATCATCCCAAGATTCTTCACAAGTGCGCTGTAGTTTTGTTTGGTTGTGGGTTCAGTTTCTTCAGGATCTAGGAACTGGAAGATGAGCTTTGTCCTCCCTTTGTTCACTTTTGCACTTATGGTTTTCAAGAAACCAATCTCAGGAGATGAGATGTAATTCACAGACGCAAATCTGATTGCCTTTTCAACAAATGATGCCATACTGATTTTGTGTTGGCTATAAAATGTATCATACTGTATGCCACGGACAGCAAACCAAACACCAAAACCATTTATTATGAAAATGAAAATGATTTATGACTGATGAAGAACAACTCTACAAAAATAACTCATTGATAGTATAGAAAGGGATAGAGAGATACCGGAACGTTCAGCCAGAATTTGTCTGGTTTAATTCCTAAAGCATCCTCAACAGTTGCTATTGGCAGAGTACCGTCGAAGTGACTTGGTCGGGAAAAAATGTTTTGAGTCACTGTAAAAGAATTGAACACAAGAAAACAAAGCATGATTACTAGTCACCTTAACCCATAAATGTTGTTGTCTACTTGATTTGTAACTTACGTGATACATTGTTTAACAGCTGATCAGCTGTAAAATCCAAAGCAAACCAGCCACGAATATCCTTCCCATTCACATTGTAAGTCTTTTGGCCTTTAGGGTAGAACATAGATATAGTTGTTGTATTATCAAGCAGAATGTTCGACAGGCATATTCCAACGCTATCTTTCGTTAACTGCAGATTGCAGAAGAAAGCGTACCCTGGCAAACTTTGAGACTTTGCCATGTCACTCGCATAGGCGCTGGATTCAGGAAAAAGTCCCGAAAACCCTCCACGAGCTATAACGAGGGGCTCTTGTCCTGCAGGTAAAATCATGAGTTGCAGAAAGTCATTACACTGACTTGATACTAGTAATAGTTAAGCGTTTAGACATTCCTGCAAATGTAGAAGAAACCTTGTTGTTTCGTCTCATATTTTGGTTCAGTTAATATCAAGTTATCAAATTATTTCTTGAGATTGGCCTTATTCACTTAAATGAAACTTCTGAGAAGCCCAATTGCTTGCCCCTTTTTTTTTCTTTTTTTCTTTTTTGCAGAGTAGATCAACTTT